TGTGCTGTCGCCTCATGTGGACACATACTGTTTGGAAACGGGACCAAGCTGGAGTGTGAGTAACTTTTTTGTTTATATATTCCAATCTTACATAGCAGCAAGCTACAGGATCTATAATGTTTCCTGGTGTCTGTCCACAGATGAGAGGAACTGTTGTGTCTTTGTGTATCTCTTGAGTGGAGCGTTGGCATTCACCACACCTCTGAGTGTTTTATTGGCTTTATTATTGTATGTGACCCACAAGAGAAGCAACTTCAAATGTGCAGGTACTGCGACTTTTATTGTTATTGACATTAACTACTCAGTACTGACACAGCTTTACAGTAAGAACATTTTATTTGTTTCTCTTCAGAGTCTCGTTCAAGAATTTCTTCTGTTTCTTCAGCACAGGTAATTTTTTTGGGGGGGTTAACATTAAAATATTAACATAACCAGAACATTTTGGACTCAGTTTGTTTTCATTTTTATTTATTTTGAGCAATTTTAAATAATTTTGCATTTGATATTTTATAATCAGGTCGCTCAAAATGAAGAAAACATCCATTATGCCGCTTTGAAGCACCACAAAGCTGACAGACCAAGAAGACTGAGAAACAACAGCAAGGCTGAATGTGTCTACTCAAGCATAAAGCAGTAGAAGTGGACGTGTTTCTTATCTATATCAATACTTTCGATGTCTTGAAAACATTTGATTTCTGTTTGTCTGTTCATAAAATGAGCAGTCCAGCTCTGTATCAGTCTCTACCAAATACAAAACAGTTTTTGCTTTTAACATAGGTAAGAGTTTTGAATCTGGACTGGAGGTCAGAGCTAGATCACATCAAGTGTAGCAACGGTTAATATGACTTTTAACTGATGATGCTTCGATTCATTCACTGAATTCCACCTTTATTCCAACGTTATAATTTCAAAAAAAAAAAAAAGACAGCATAAAAAGTGTCAGTGTAGAGGATACAAATCAGCCACAACATCTTATGAAACATCAGCTTACATCTTGTGAAATTCAGTTATGTACATTCACAAAGAGCAGTAAATGTCAGAGCAGCAGGAGCCCAGATCGACTGATCGCAGTCTGTACACTGTATAAATTACTGTTATGTGTGCAGAGAATCTGCATCGGGCAGTGTTTCATGACTTAAATCCATTTGCATTGGAAAATATATTTAAAAAGGATGATAATTTTTCACTACAAAAGTTCATGCACAAGTTGAAGGTATTACTGTTATACATGACCTGTATTTTTACATAGGTGAAAATAGAACCTTGCCAAATTTAGGATTTTCTTTTTTACATGGTTACATTGGGCACTGATTATACTGGCGTTGGGGACACTCACCTTTTTTATGAGACTAAAATTATACAATATTATGTGATCAGCTATTGAATGTGCATTTTATTCGATTAAACCTGGCGAGCAGTTTTGTTCTGCTCTGTTTTTACTTGTTTGATGTTTTTGTTTACGTTTCCAAAGTGAAATTATTAAAAAATGTGTAAAAATAGAGTTAACAAAAAAATGTATATTTCCTTTTAAAACTGTTTTCATAAACCTACTAAACACAAAGTTTGAGAGCATGAATTTCATGAATTTTTGACATTGTGGTTTAGAACTGTAATCTCATGTAATCTTTCTCATTATTTTTACCATATTTCTTATCATCTGACCAAGCAAAATGCTTTAAACTTTTAAAATGGACACTGCTTTTTATTGATTGAAGTGGGGGTTTTTTTGTTTGTTTTTTTGGCTTGGTTTTTTTGGGGGGGGGGTAGTTTTCCAGGCCAACTGATCTCTAAGAGATCTCAGCTTTATATGTGCAGAGGACTTTATTACATACACACAGTGACAAAACAGTAGGTACTTTGGGAGCAATTTGGGGTTTGGTACTGTATCCTGCTGAAAGACAATAGATGAATTACTTTTTTATATAATGGGGCTTAAGGAGTATAAAAATTGTTATTTCAATTTATTTCAACTGACAAAGCTCTGACACAGTCAGAAAGCTGACCTGTGGAGGGTGGTTGGTGTACGGTGTTGAGCACAAAGGCTTTGCAAATTCAAATTAAGCTTCTGACAGCTTTTAGTTTTAGGTGTTTCTCCTCACTCAGTTAATTTTGTGAAACATTCAGATTTAGGACTTCATAGGGCC